TAAATGAGGCTGAGAGAAGGTCACTGATTCAAAACCTCAGTAAAATAGAAGTTAAACTGGTTCTTATTGATATACTGCAAAATAACTCAAGAAGTGAAAGATATCAGGTCATATTCCAAGAATTTGAGGGTTTTGGTTTTTGTCTTTAAGGGTAAGTGCCTCTATTACTTAGAGACTTGAGTATTTAACAAGCAAAAGATTCTTGATTCAAGCACAAGAGACATAAGACCTGATGGTTGTGTCAGGCCAGGTGTCTGGTGTGAAATCTCCAGCATTGTGCATTGATGCACGTTGTAAACGAGGGAGTGCTTAAAGGAAGCACAGATTTTAATCAACATTCCATACCAGCTGGTGACAGTAATGCAACATGGGGCATATGTGGGTCCTACACTCTTGATCCTGGTACTGGTATGGAATGTGTGTACTTCTGGGCTCCATACCATTCGGTCCAGATGCCTAGTCCCCTACAGGCATTGGCATGGTACTGGGGCCCATAGTGGACTGCCCACTGTGGGACATGCAGGCCTGCCCACACTGGCCCCAAGGGGGCATGTTTACCGGGAAGGAAGATTTGTGTTCATACTGGTACAGACACAACCAAACATAGGAACAGACTGGATGTGTGTGTGTGTGTGTGTGTGTGTGTGTGTGTGCGTGCGTGGTAGCAGTGTTTACAGTAGATCTCTAGTTTTCCTTCCCCAGTGACAGGCGGAGGGGGAGTGTGGGAACAGAGAGGAAGCTAAACTAAACCATGGGCACAGACATTTTTATTAATGGGGTCGTGGCCGGGCTGGAGAGAGGCTCACACATACACACACAAACACACACACACACACACACACACACACCTACACACACACACACACACACACACACACACACACACACACTAAAATCTATTTATAAACAAGATGAAATGTTTTTTTAAAGGAAGATTAAAAAATTGCGCCAATCAAATGTTAACAGTTGATGTTAATTTAATAGATTTTCATGCTTTTTTCTAAGCTAAGGACATTTTCTCACTTGTACATTCCCTGCTTTTGTTGAAAAGCATTCTCATGAAGTAATAAAAAAGAAGCTACATCTCCATAAATGTAGGAAGTCCTAAAATCTATTGAAAACATAAAATTCTGTCTGATTCAGGGAGGATTATTCTTGGTACCTCATAGATTTTTTATTAAACTTTGTTATAAAATTAGTTTGTAAGATGTGCCTGAATGCATCATGTGACCCACCTGTTACTCATGCAAACCTTCCCATGCTCTTTGTTGGTGTGTTCAGGTGGATATTGCCCAGCTCACAGTTTAGCAGTGAGTAAGGAATCTGAGTTGTAATCAGTCATGGCAGACTGGAGCCTACTGGGAAACTTCCTGGAGGAAGTACAGGAGCACTCTACCTCTGTCGGCAAGGTAACATGCAAACACAGACATGTATATGTACACACACATTGCATACTAACACACAAGACTGGTCCGACATCCTCTGTTCATGACAGACAAACATATACACTCAAAATAGAACATTCATGTATTTCTAAATCATCCTGTTTATTTTGTGTATCCCGACTCGTGGTTTGTGGTTTCAGAGTCTTGTAACACTAGAATGAAACATCATACAAACATCTGTTAGTTTAACCATTCGAAACTCAACTCAACAAGTCTTAAAAGAAACCAAAAACAAATATCTTCACTTTCAGAGATTTTATGGAACTAATGTTACTTACAACTGTAACGATAGTAGTAACCTCTGGTTTTCAATGCATGTCCATTGTTGTAAAATGTGTGCATGTACTGTGTGCGTCTTCTTTCTTCAGAGAAGCTAAGTAGTAGTAGTCCTCAAAGTAAGTTGTTTACAGAACTGTTGGCAAAGCTTAGGAATCCAGGAGCACAATTTATAAACCAAGATAACAAATTTAGACATGGCACAAGGTCAAGAGGACTGGAATTCACGTTCTTTGTGGGACTGTTTCTTTTAAATCTTTGTTTCACTCGCTTGGTTAGGTTTAGGCCAAGAGGACTGGAATTCACGTTCTTTGTGGGACTGTTTCTTTTAAATCTTTGTTTCACTCGCTTGGTTAGGTTTAGGAAATGATGACGCTCTTGGTTTAAAAAAAACAAACCCAATAAACAGTACATATCATTGAACTTGTGAGAAGGCTCAGTTTTCTAGTTTAGATTCTTTCTTAAATAATTAATTGTAATGGTCAATTCAATCAGTCAGCACTTTGTGTACTTTTTCTAAGGCATTTTTAAATCTGTTTAGAAGTACTACAAAGATAACCAGCTCCTAAAGTATGTAATAACTTTAGTTCAGGGTGGCCATGAAGTCAGTACTGGCAGACCAGCTATTCTCACTGCCAGCCAGCTGATGGCTCAGTTAGTTGTCAAGGCATCCAACTGGCAAACCTCATACAGGGAAAACTATTTAAATGCCACTTTACAATCCAGCTAAACTCCGAGTCCTCCTTTCATGGTGCACCCGACCTAATCACTGACCTATTGTTCTCACTGCTCTGTGCAGGGTCTTGCTATTGCTCTCTCTGCTTGTCCATGGATGGAGGTGGAGTTTCCATAACATGAATATACTACCAAACACAAATAACAGCAGATGAAAATAACAATTTTCACTCATTATAGTGGCCCTCCCCTCTGGGCTGGAGTAACCTTTAAGAGCTGTTTATACCTTTATTGTTTTAAAAAGGGTAAAAATGGGAATGTCCACAGTCTAGACTTTGATTAAAGGATATTTTATTGAAGCAATTCAGCAGAAACAAATAATTATAGTAACCCTTAATTACACTTATCCAATTAACCTACTCTGAGCTAATGCTGATTTTGTTCTAATCTTTGGAAGAAGAAGAAGACTGGAGGTCATAATTGCTTCATGTTTTTTCTCCACAGGTGTGGCTGACCATCCTGTTTATCTTCCGAATCCTTGTCCTCGGGACAGCAGCTGAGTCATCGTGGGGAGATGAACAGGAAGATTTTAACTGTGACACTGAACAGCCAGGCTGTGAGAACGTCTGTTATGACCGAGCCTTCCCCATAGCACACATACGATACTGGGTAATGCATTGGCAGTCAAAGATTATCTTTTTGTTTTAACCAACTGAAATCAAAGATCATAAAGAAGTCAGCCAATCCATCTTAAAGCTTGACATTTTATTAGAAATATATTAGAGTTACTCTATCACATCAACCAAAAGAACTTCTTTATACCTGTTGATGATTTTTAAACATTTTCTAAAACTGTAAATACAATATGAACTCTAATTAGTCAGTTGGAATATATCTGTGTCTGTACACCCCTTTTCATTCATCAAACATTTCAGGCATCATACCATAAGTCTTTATGGTATGATGCATACCATAAAGACTTGAATGGTATAAATTTTAAATCTATCACGTGTTAAGATTGGTTTGCCACCTTCCTTACAGCTATTTACTTCCATTTATTTCAGTGCAGTGTGAAAAATAAATTGCAGTCACTTGATGTCCTCAAGGGATTAATTATGGTGAAATGTTTCCATTTCATACAGGCTATTCAATGAGATTATCTATGCTTGCAGCCGAGAGCAAGGGCTGCTTTAAAAATGCCTCCCTGCAAATGAAGCCCCCCCCCCCACACACACATTCACACAGTGTCAGATCAAACAATAAAACTCTTATCAAAATCTCAGAACCAAAAAAAACGGAAACTCATTTCCCAAGAAATGTGGCAACACTTTGGGTTGATGCATACCATAAAGACTTGAATGGTATGAAAGATTGAGTTTCCAATTACAACGTAGGTTATGACATAGATTTCCAGGTCTATCAAGCTTAAATCTTTGCATTCTACTGCATTAGTCTGACCTAAATTTAACAGCTTCCTAGAAAATGAATAATCTTCAATGGTGTTAAACTCTTGCAGATATCAGATTAGTGAGTTAATCTTTTAATTTTGAGTCACTATCCTTTGTGTAAACCTAAAAAAATAAATGTTCAAGTAATATGTTCAAGCAGGCTGCAAAGCCTGCAGTGGCAGCTGCCCCAGTTTGTCCCCCTGAGTACAGACTAATACTCAGGACTGAGCCATAGCTTCAGTTCAAAAGCCCTATTTAAAAAGGAGAGCGCCACCTGTTGCTGTTCAAGCACTCAACTGCTAGTTGAGTCATTCTGTCAAAGACTGCAGGAAAATAGGATCCAAATGCATTCTCCAAATAAGACGGGTTTGAAGTGAGCAAAACCTTTCTTGTGGCTGATAATAAAACAGATCATAATATAACAAAGTCCAGAAACACAGCAGACAATAGAAGGGAACACACTAGAAACTATATAGACATGGGGGACGTGGAAAATGGGTAAAAAGAGACAGCTGAAATGAATCAGGAGGACTTGACACAAGGAAGTAAAATTAAAAGCAAGGAACAAGCAAGAACAGATTATCAGATAAAAGAAGATTTAAGGGGAAGAAAGAGAGAAACAAAGAACTAAGACACTAAGAAACATGGCAATCAATTATAACAGAGAACCAATTACAACATCAATTATGATTCTAAAGTTCATGAAAACACATAACTGGGCTAATGGGCCAGAACAATGACACATCTCTTGCTTTTCATACTTTCAATCACTGATGCCTGATCTGCTCTGGATGAGAGTTTCGTTGTTTCTCTCCCCACCTAAATTGTTTAAAGTATAAAGTCCTGGGAGTCCATACTGAGAAATATCTCACACTGCTGCAGATGAAAATAACAACTTTTGTTTTACTTTTGATTATAAATCTTATTCATGTCTTTCCAGGTGCTCCAAGATTATTCACTTGGCTAATTTGTTAGCAATTATGGGTGAGCTTTCGGTTGGACGGCGTCCCTAGCTCGGAGAAGGTCGCTTATGGTCTTCATGACCCCCCCTCCCTAGTCCGTCCGCCGCGCGTCCTTGCTGCCGAGTGTCTCCAGTTGTCTGGGTACTCCCATTGCGGTCTGCCTCTGGCCGTGCTCCCGCGTGCTGGGTGTGGGCTTTCTGCCGATGTCGGTGTCGTGGCGCTGTCGCCACCTTGCCTCTTCCTATTAATTGGCTTCGGCTGGTTTGTTTATTCCGGCTGCACAGCCACGTTTCTCCCAGTCTGATCTACATGGGCCATGCTATGCACACTGTCCGCAGAGAGGAGAAAAGAAGGAACAGGGAGGAGGAGGGAAGAGAGGAGGGAGGGGGAGAAGAAGACCCAGGAAGAGGTGAAGGAGGAGGTGGAGGTGGATTCCGTAGACATCTATCTCTAGATGTTTACGAGCTTGGGTTGTAGTTTCCTTCTTGTTTTGTTTATTCCTCATGTAGTTTTGTCTGGTCGCCACATGTCTCATACATCTTACTTTAACTATGTTTCCACTGCTCTTGGACCTTTCCATTTTTTTACTCGTCTTTCCATTAGCACTTTCCGTGTTCCTTGCTTTTCATCTATCGCTTCCTCGGAAATATTTTTTCGACAGAGGAATTTGAGATAAAGCTAGGATAATCAGACTATGTCAGGAAATTGGGCCACATGGTTTTTCTCTCTTCTGCTCTCTTCCTGTTTACCTTGCTCCGGCTTCAACATTACATTGTTTTTCTTGCTTGCTGCGGGTTTTCTTGTCTTTTCCTCATCACCGTCCCTAGGCATCTGCTGGGCTATGGTGCTGACTGTCGCATCACTACTCCGCACTCTCGTCCGCCAATCCCCACTGTGAATGCCCATCAAAATGGCCATGACAAGCTAAAGCACTAACGTACAACCCAAATAAGATAAAATTAGTAATCACACATGACCTAACTGGTTAACCTTAACATCTTCAAATTTTTATAACATTTTTATGGCTTCACATTCACATTACTGTTACATTACTAAAACATGGATACATTTAAGATCCATTGTTCATAATTTTATTCCCAAATGATAGAATTGTAAGTAATTCTATCAGTTTACTTTGAATAAGTCAGTTTCTCCATTTTCTAATTAAGTGATAATGAAAATCTGTTGGTAGCATCTCTGCTGTTGTTTCCTGCATGCACGCATGCTGATATTTATTGATGCCTCTGGGTTTTGTGAGCAGATTATTAATTTCCCAATAATGAGATATTCTTAGAAGGGACATTTGACAACTAGTGCAAGCATGGAAACCAATCAGAGCTGTAGCAGTGCTGGTACCTCGGTGAGATTATGCAGCCTCCGTGTCAAAGAAAACAGGTGCACTTATGAATTGAGGCCAGCAGAGGACTCCCCTGAGCCTCTGCTGGAATCAGCTGCTGCTTAGTGTGCACTCTGAAAAGACCCTTTCCTCCCTTTTGTTGTTTATTCTTTCACTCCTTCGTGAGCCTTGTTGCACAAGGTCATTGTTGGCTTCACACAACTGCTGCAGAAAACACACAAAAAAGAAAAACAGAGAAAAACAAGTCCACGCACAGCACATGGTGTGTGTTTTATATCTGGCAAATGTGTTACATATTACATATGTGATACACTGACAGTATTATCACTGTGAAACATGGTGGAGAAGCAAGACTTGAGGCCCGTGATGCAATCTGGCAGATGAGATAAATGGGCTCTCAAATATAAGTGGCAATTACATGAGAGTTCTATTTGTACCAAGCAATCAGTGGCTGAAGATCTGGAAACTGAGAACACTTTTTTCCCTTCATTTCTGCAAATATCAGATTCAGTAGATACTGTTAAGTGGAGCTCATCGAATCTAGTCTGCGTTTCACAATCCCGTAAAACAAGTTACATTTTAATTGCTTTTCCATAAAACATGATTTCCCCTAAAACAACAGGAAAAACCTTACACTGCAAACTGTTGTCTGAGCCCCTGAATATGTATATAACAAAAAGCTCAGAACCACGTATGTTATCGTATGTTATGGCGGGACGTTTGTGACAGAAACGAAGCGCTGATGATGTGAATTTTAAGCTGTAAATATGCATGCATGGATGCATGGATTACAGCTTGTGTAGCAACAGAGATAAGACAAGGAGATGGAGCCAATTTTCTCCATGGAAAAGAAAGATATAAATGCAGACACTTTTATTTTTACTTGACAAAAATAGACCAATTTTTGACTACTACTTACATTATTTTGGTCTGTATACATTCAGTTTATGTGCCTATATATTCCAACTACTATAGCTTCTCTCCCAGCGTCCCTTTGATCTGTAATGAATTGAAACATGCCAAAAACAAACCTTTTTCTCCAGCAAGTTTCTGCTGTTAATCAACCTGCTGACCTGTAATCTTCTGACTTGGAGACATCCCAAGGTTGGTTTTTTGTGTTACTTCAACACATCATAATTTGTGTTTAAGAGATACTTCTGGAGTGATAAACATGAACTGTTCTCACCTTTACCTTGAAACGATCAACCGAATGAATAAACTACTGAGAATTCACTTGACTCATTCTGGTAAAAGACGCAGATTTACTCCCCACCGTATATTCTTGGGTAAAGGTTAAATTTAAAGGTTGAATTTTTTTTTTGTAGTTAGAAGAAAACATTCACAATGAAAGCAAGTTTGTTTTCGGTACATCTTTGTTGCATCTTTGCATAATAATAAACACAGTACTAACCACGATGAAAGTTAATTTGATTGAGCCCCCTGTAAAAACTGAGAGATAGATGTGCTTAGAGTGATTCAAAGCTCCAAGAGGAGCAGCTACAAGTTCTTCCTGATGTATATACAGCCTATCAATGTGATTTATGCAGTCATATAAAAGAAGCTTCC